TATATACATATATTGTATACATATATATCTATACATATGTGTATACATTTCAATGTATTGTGCCAAAAAAAAAAAACCTCTTACAGGATTAGATGTGCTTTTATCCGTCAAACCCATCTTCTGCAGAGGCTCTTACTGTTGGATTTCCTGAATCCTCTATCATGTTTTTTGATCCTTACAACTATGAGCAGCTGAAGATTATGTTGGATGAAACGGCTGTCTTGCTGTTACATATTAAACTATAGCAGATGAATGACTGTCAGCCACATAACATTTCTATGTGTATTAGGAAATTCAGTTTCAGGTGACCCAAGTTAACTTTCTTTACTTATCTGATGTTTCTTGATGGTTAAACATATCTACAGATCTAAAATTTATTCAGTAAGCCAAATACCAACCCTAATTTACAACTCCAAACACTGGTAATTTTAGTACAGGAAATTTTGTCAGATCCTATTTAGAGACAATGTCTTTAGAGATGGTCTGAGCAAGGTTGATTGCTGTACCTCTTGTACCCTCCTTTTTCCTGGCCCAAATTAGGTTACCACTGCCTACAGCAAACAAAAAGTAGGTTAAAAAAAACCCACAGAGGAATGGGAGGCAGCTATAATCTAGGGAAAGTGAATATAAGCAAACATTACTGGATTTAAGTGAGGTCTTAGCAATTCTGTTTTGCACTTGTGAGGAGTCTGAGAAAGGAAGAGAAGATATAAGAAATACTGAGTCCATTAGCAGCTTATCTTATAATCAGGCCAGATGGGGAGTAATTTGGGGAAAAGTATCTCAAAGTGTTCAGAGGGACTCCGTCTTAATTAATTCACTATAAATAAGATTGGGAAGTTTCCAAGATTTTGTAAATTTATGACAGATGAACATTACAGATACCTTACTGAAATCTGTATAGTTCTTGCTTCCTTGGTCTTGCCTAACTGCATGGAGTTTGACAGCTTGACACTTAGGTTTCCAATGGTCTAGATATACAGGGTGCTTAAAAGTTTGTGAACCCTTTTGAATTTTCAATATTTCTGCATGAATATGACCTAAAATGTGATCTGTTTTCCACACAAGTCCTAAAATTGAATAAGGAGAACCCAAATAAATGAGAAAAACATTATACTTGTTCATTGATTTATTGAGGAAAATGATCCAAAGCTACATATTTGTGTGT